CTTTTGTGGTATGTGCTACATCAGATAATATATGAATATTAGATAGACTACAAATCAGAAATTTCAGTGTAAGAATTAAGTACACGCAGACCACATAAAAAGCGCTGATGGTACCCTAGGTAATGAGAATCTCATATGTAAAACTCAGTGTGTCAATGTTTGCAAAATTATCAACATGAAACCATGATTATACCCCTCGCTTGAAAACGGAGGGTATACTATATTGTGATCTGGATGTCCGTCCGTTTGTTCGTCCGTTTGCTACGCTTTGGGGTACCCATCTCTTATCCACAACTCCGCAATGAAATTTAATGAGACTTTCACAGACTTTTTTTGCATAATGCTATTGCACACCTCCTATTTTACTTCTGGATCGGACACATATTTTTGGTTTACTATAGCAAAACATAGGTATACTACTATACTTCCATTCTTTCTATAAAATTGATGGGTACCCATCTCTTATCCGCAACACCTCTTATACCAATGAATAAATTTAATGATACTTTATTACATAATGCCATTGTGCACCTCCTATTTTACTTTTTGATCGGACACTAAATTATTTCAGGACTCCCAGAGCAAAACATGTACTTTGTCCTTATAATCATGTTGGAGGCGGGGATATCTTTGAATAAGCTCAGTGCTCACAGTACATGATTTTATTTTAGAATAATTTGTATGCTGATAGTTTAGTGAGATTAAAGCAATGTTAAACACCCTCCTGTGGCTCAACACAATTATTTAGTTTTCTTTAGCTATATTAATTATTAACAAGTAGTTTTTTTAGGTGGCGGATGAACGATATATGCCTAATTTGGGCCTGTAGTATGAACTGCAGTAAAACAGACAAAAGGCTAAGCGCTTCACATATGACACGGACATATTGGAGGATAAATAAATTCTACGTTGCCCTACGACTGTCATTTTTCCACGACATGTGTGCAAGCTTATCAATACTTTGTTTTTCACCTGTCGATTTGGTTCTAGTCGCCCGTCCTCTTATCGGAAGGTTTTGTTGGATAGACAAGAGTAGCCAGCGTATCGAACCGTCACGATCCTTTACTTATTTTACGACAAACGCAATCTGGGATTCTGTTAAACCACTCGTATCTTATCGTATTTTATCGTTATACTGTGTGACTATTTGTGCACGCGACATACGTAAACTTGCAGATGACAACACTCTCAAAAGATTTCGTTGTTGATGGGAACATTTTAAGTTTGTGTATCTGTCACCGGCGAACATTGAAATTTTGATAAATCTTGAGGGTGTCGTTAATCTCTTATGCAAGTGATACAACATTAAAACATAATTTCTGAAAATAAATACTGTTTAAAAGGGCGCGTGTTATTCTTAACACTCGGTTAATTCATTTCGAGGACGATGGGATATTTTTCTCTTTTTTTAAGTCAAAATGAAACTGAATTTTAAACGATGTTGAATAATGATGAATACTAAAATATGGTCGCGTTAAACGCCAATTTCAGTTCAGCGTCTTTTGATTGGATAAAACCTTAGACTTTTTGCCTATTTCAAAAACGTATCAATCCGTTTGACATTACATTTATAATACATACAATTTGAAGGAATTTTTGAAGGAAATTAATGATTGAAAATTTTAAATCATCAAAAATAAATTTCATAGTTACCCAAATGATTTTGGTATATACTGGGTTGGAACAGATTACTTTTTATATAAACCGCTTCGCGAGTTATAAAGCGTCAACTGCTCCAACCAAGGTTATACCAGTAACACTTGGGAAGCTGTTAAATTCATTCCTAAATGAATACCCCTGTTTGGTGATAATATATATAGCGTTAAAATAAGACAAAGCAGTGAAAATGTTTAGATAAATCAGGTACAAAACATACAATTTTCATAATTTGATAATTTCTTAGTGATAGTGCATATTCCATACGTATATGTTGGACCACAGGAGTCTGAAGTTCTTATCTTCAAAAAAAAAAAAATGGAAAAAATATGTCCAATGATAAAGATGAACTGTCAAGGTGGGAAAAGGGTCATGAACGGCCCGAAGACGTCAAGCAGAATGGATTTTTTTAACTTGAGGTATCAATGATTTCTAATATATTTTTTATTACATGTATGTTATTTTTTTTTTATGCTATGTCTCGGTTTCAATTTTAAATATTAATTTACACTGCTAAAAACTTCAGACTCCTGTGGTTGGGCAAGCTATGCTTTTGGTTAAGATACATTTGTTAAAAAATCTTCGAAATGAAATGAGACTATGCAATCGATAGAAGAAAAAAAACTAGCATGGAAAATTAAACGCCCAATAGGCAGAACCTTTTTCAGCAATATGAGATGTTTGTCACCTATTTTCTATACAGAGTTACAATATACATGTGTTCCCGGAAACTATCTTAATTTTACCTGGCTGGAACCAATAGGAGCAATTCATCGATTTGATACGTATCAGTAACAAAGTCATTATACAAAACCCCTGCATTATTTTTAAAGTAGGCGTATATTGTTCATGTTCGTGCGATTTACAAGATATTGAAGCTATTTGATATCTTAGGGAACTTACTTTGCATATTTCTTCTAATTAAATATTGCTAGCGTTTATATTTTAATAAACGAAATTAAAACCATATATTGAGTAAGTATAGATACACGCAGATATAATTAGTTGTCTATCTATTATCTTTAAGTGGAGTTAAAAAAAAAATAAAAAAAAACTTCATCGCATTTTTGAATGCACATTTTGTTTCATATTAAATGACAGATTATCAAATACTACATATTTCAATTACCAGCATTGATTATTAACCTTTTCAGAGTTACAGATTATTTGCTGGTTGTAAGGTTTGTAGTCAATCTATGTGTTATAAAGCAGTAAACAAGGACTTTAACAGAATGAATAATTGATGTGTAATTTAACATCAATAGTGTAATCAATGAACATATCTGTCTCTACATATGATATCAGAATTTCTCTAATAAAAATAAATTCCAGCGTTGGGAGGTGTAGATAAGATTTAACTATGAATTATTGATAATACGAGAAATCCAAAGGAAAAAAAGGTTAAAAAAAACTCTTTTCCTTATAAAACTCATAATTATCTTTTCATGCTAGTGCGTTTGCCACATGCCGCCGAATCTCTCGTTTCATGCATATCGGCGCGGTTTTTGTGTCAAATAGTTCCAAATATACAACCCATATAATTAGCATTTAGTACCAAGCTCTCAATCAGAGTTCAGAATTCCGAAAACAGCAGATTGCATCTATACATAGAAGGAAATTCAAATCTTTAAAGCATTAAACGAATTACATTGCTTGATCATGATTTACTTGGTCCTTCGTCGCAACTTGACAAATTGTCATAACGAACATATCAAATATTTAAAATTGTAAATAATTGTCGTTAGAATTCGGCTTGTGTTCTCCTATCAACCCAATAAACTTTCAATTATTGAGAATGTTATATGATTTATTTTATATTTTTATCTTAAAAGCAGTTTGCAGAGAGTGTATTTTATGAATAATGAAAGAAATCTAGAGAAGATAACATTTTATTAACTTCCTATCATTCTAAACGAGGTCTTCGTCTCAATCAGATTATTTTAATAAAAACTCTAGGAAGATTTTAGCTTTAGAAACGCATACGTTGTATATATGTATATAAATTATAGAAATATTTTACATATATCAAAATGATATATATGTCCAATGGGTCGAATGTAAAGTATATGTACGTTTATATTATATCTATTTGCTGTTGTGGAAAACTATACAGATGTCACCATAATAAAATGTTTATTTACTTACTTATATGGATCGTTTAATATTAATTATACACGTAAACCTCCCCTATGTTAAGTACAATGAAATCAGATATGTATTATAATATTAGAATAGGGTTTCCCTTAAACTCCACTTTATTCATTTGAAAGTAAATATCTATCAGATGTTATTTCTTTTCTACACATATATTCATACGGCAAATTCATAATTTTCATCATTATTTCATAATAATATTTTACACATTATATTAATTTTCTCTCTTAAAAATATTCACAGACAGTGTTCTGTATGAATAAAAAGCTATGAAGTTAATGAATTTTTATTATTTTTTTAAACCCAATAAACATCTGATACATGCACAGATAAATATATCTGATACATGAACAGATACCTCTGATTGCAAACATTGAGGTAAAAACTGTAAAACGGGTCAAAAATCGTTTGTCCAAAAAAAGTTTATCAGATCATAAATATACCCCCTCCCAATTCTTGAAGAAACATATTTGAAAATATACAGTGATCGATTGGTGACATATTTTTACATATTTGCAAATAGTTTCATATTTAAAAAAAATCATTGAAAAAAAAATATTTTAGTAAAGTTAGAATTAATTCAAATCATGTATGAACAGTGTTACAACTTATCAAGCGAATGGAAAATAAGTTCTGAAATAAAATAGAACGTGTTCTTGGAAATGCACGATGTCTAACTAATTAATCAGCAGCAACAAAAACGAATTATCTCTGGGTTAGATTTCAGCTTAGTAGTTAAAATTTTCATCGAAAAATAAAATCATCATCTCTTAACATTTATTTACCTCAATATGCAATGATTCAACAATTTATTTTTTTAATAGAATTTTTCAAATTGTTCCCCTTCTATAGAATCAAATTATATAGTAAGGAGTTAGTAGTTTTGTTTACACATTGAACCATTAACCATCAACTTTTTTGCCATGACTCATTCTTCCCGATGTCAAGTCATGCTGCCAACTATAAGATGTTATACAATATTTTTATAAATCATTTAAATGTAATCTTTAAGCACTCAAACTATATAGGGTCAATTGGGAAAATTATGGAAACTATTTAAAGCAAATAAATTACTTGAGTGAGCGAAATGTCGTTAAGATTTTCCCCGTTTTTAACTGTAAAAATAATGGAAGCATTTTGGGGATAATGAAAAAGAATCATCATCAAAATATACATCATCCGGGACTCAAATGAGAGAAACCATTCGTATGGAAATAAGTTAATAATTCTAAGTTTACTGCATTGTCTAGTCTCGAAATGGTCGGAGGGGCGGAGTGATTTAATGGCACGGGGCCCTCTCAACCAATCAAAGTAAGATTTGTATGAGAGTTTTAGCACCTGTAACAATCTTCCGATTGCGCATGTGCTCTTACCTCCTTATGGAATTAAGCCGACAGAAAACAGACGCATGTTAACTTTTATTACAACTTTATCATTAGAATTTGCCCTGTTTGGACATAACTGCTTATTGCTTTTCTTATTCGATTATTTATTCAAATATTTTTTCTTTGCTTATTTCCTTGTGTTGTACGGAAAGGCTTGTTAAAGAGTAATCACATCTTTTCACTTTCATGAAACTTTGAAAATCAAAATATGGAACTAATTAATTCAAGTTCTGTGCGCTTAACTGAAGAGGATCACAGAAGTGCATTCAAAATTGTTCAGCCACGAAAATCAGGTAAAATAAACATTTTGTAAAACACTTTAATGACAATTCAGTTACATGTTCTTTTATAAATTATTTTGAATTATTTTATACAACACACCTTTTTGTGTTTCGACCTTTTACTAATTTCTCAAAAAACATGATTGTTGCATATGATTTAATATCAATTAATTTTTATGTTTTGTACGAACTTTTAATATAATTTTTATTTCCATCAACGATTTCTATCTAACAAACATTTATTTTATATTTTAATCGGACCAATCAAATTATTTTTGTTTGAAATGTGCAATGCAATATTTCTGTAAACTTGAATTTTATTCAATTAATTTTTCAGTTAATATAGGAATTATGAAAGAAATAATTTTCCTCGTATACCTCGACGGTGTGATAAATACATTATTAAACATCAATTTGCCTTTATAGTTCATTGTCATAAATATAAATGAACATTAAAAACACAAAAATAAATTGCTTTATTCATTTGAATATTTTTCTACTTTGCCAAAATCTGTTGCAGATTGATGCTTTGATTTTTTTTTTTTGTATAAGTACATTGTTAATCTTTTTCCTTTTTAAATCATACAATTAAAGAATAATCATTATAAAACAAAAGTAATTTTATATAGTTTAAAAGGATTTTATAAGTTAAAGATTAAAGTTGGTTTAGTGATGATAAATTATATAAACACTTTATTTACAATTCTTATATTTTCAATTATGGTCTTTAAATATTTTATAAATATAGCATTCTTTGGAAAATTAAAAACCAACAATTTACGATAAAAATTCCAGCTGATGATCAGTGCTCTTCCCCTTTAGAGGAGACAGCCTCGTTGTCTTCAACTGGAAATTATTGCCACCAACTTCAACGATCAGACAGTAGAGAATCTGAAGATTTAGCCCCAAAAGACACATCCCGCTTTAGCGCTTTTCGACCATGGCTTTGTGAACCCCCTACCCAAGCAACCGATCTCTCCGTAAAGAACAAAATGACGTCATCATCACAAAACAATTCACGGAAAAGTACGTATTTTGTTCTCATTAATATAGATTTTCGTTTTATTACATCATTAATCAACTACACTGTACATGTAGATATTTGATATAACTGAAACATTACTTAATTTGATTGTGCCTTAAATAAAATTATCTATATATTTTCTTTTCCTTTGTAGCATCAATAATTCCAGCGTTCTCTTTTGGCGCTTTGAAGGCTCCAAATATCAGCGATATTTACAGGTATCAAATGGCCCAGGCGATGTTCAGGGCGCCTTATAATGTGTTCCCTTACGGACAACCAGCGGTATGGTCAGATCCAAGATTTTACCGATTTTTAGGTCACGGAAAGGACATTCAGGTCTCCCTATTTAAGAACTTTATGAATGTGACCGAAGAAGGGGAGGTTTCAGGGTTTGAGAAAGGTTCTTTTGAGTGCGTAAAGTGTATGAAGCAATTCAGTACGCCACATGGACTAGAGGTACATGTTCGACGCTCTCATAGCGGAAGAAGACCTTATGCTTGTGACGTTTGTAGCAAGACTTTTGGACATTCTGTCAGTTTGACGCAACATAGAGCAGTGCATACACAAGAAAGAAGTTTTGTTTGTCAACAATGCGGAAAGAGCTTCAAGCGTTCTTCAACGTTGTCGACGCATCTCTTAATTCACAGTGACACACGCCCGTATCCTTGTCCGTATTGCGGCAAAAGGTTCCATCAAAAGTCCGATATGAAAAAACACACATACATACACACAGGTATGTTTAATGCTATTTTAATTTTACAGAATATGTATTTTTTTGAAATACAGATTCAAAAAATTACCTCGATATGTCGCATAACTCAATAGCTTGGGAGAGAATATAAAATTTTTAGCGTTTGAATAGAAATTAGATACAAGTAAAATAAATTCACATGAAAAATTGAGGTACAAAGAGAGCGGTCTTACTAGGAGTTTGTAACGGGACAGGGCACAAAAACTGATGAATATGTTCTTGACAATTTTTGTGATGTTTCTCTGTCACTTTATAACCACAGACACTCTGAAGAAGTTCACTTGTATAAACTAATTTGTCAATCAAATCCCCAATAAGCGCATAATTCTCCATATTTGTGGCTGATATTCAGAGAGCAGCCCTGTTTTTGTCTGGTCACCCGAAATCTCTTGGGTCATTAGATTTTCTGTACATGGTTGGTGAATAGCATTTAAGGAAAGCCAGAGATTGAAATGGTGGGAAGCTGAGAGCAGAATCCACGATGCCTTTGGGTCATATCTGTGTTAATAAATGGGTACTAATCTGATGATCAGAACACGAAAATTAATAAATTGTCCGAGATTTTTGACTAACCTTTTGAGTGTGCTTCGATTTTTTTTTTTTTTTTTTTTTTTTTTTTTTTTAAAATAAAATTTTGTATAAAAGATACTTATCTAATTGTAGATATTTTAGAAAAAGGATGTTGGATTTTTCAAGCATGTCTTTATGCAACAAAACACATAAATTCCAAAGAAATATTATTTGATTCTAGCATGCAGATAATATTTTTTAAACTATTTTAAATGAATAATAATGGAAAAAAATTCAGAAAAATCAATTTATGATTGATGATACTAAGAAAAATTGCTCTGCAGGCATGTTATATTCCTGTTTATTATATTGTTTATACCTAGCTTTCCTATACTGATACTGTTTTTTCAGTTGTGAAAATTAAATTAATTAATTCATTCATACAAATATCATAGATCCAAACAATATAACCTTTAATTTGATGCCAAGCGAAAAACTCATTGATATAACAGATGATTTTTATACTCATTTTATTGGTAACACAAAGGTGAACATTGATTGCTGGAATTCATGAAATATCATCTTCAATTATAATTTATAATATTATTTGAAATCGGTGACAGAATTTTACTATATATTTAATATATTAATTATTTATATAACCAAAGCGCACCCAAAAAGAATTATTTCTAATATATAATTTTATTATTTTTAATTTGTCTTTATTAGGAGAGAAACCTTACAAATGTAACCATTGCGGCAAAGCATTCAGTCAGTCCTCTAACCTGATCACTCACTGTCGAAAACACACAGGCTTCAAACCATTCTCATGTACAACATGTGGAAGAAGTTTTCAAAGAAAAGTAGATTTAAGGCGACATCACGAAACTCAGCATGTAGAGGAAATGACCTCATCTAATGAACTAGTGACGTCATCTACTATTGACGTTTCCAGCAGACAGGAAGAGAGTGCGATTTAGGACATACATGTATATTTTTATGCTTGACTGTTTTTGCTCAAATTTAAGATTTTATTTATTTAATGTTGTGAGTGTTCAGTATTAGCTTCATGCATTGGTGTGAGTTTTATCAGTTATACATATATATTGTAAATATTTGAAATTGTAACAATTTTCCTTAAATGCAAATCCATATTTGAATTTTACTGAACTTTATTCATTTGATGATAGTTATATTTTTGGTAGGGGGATATTCAAATATTGTTATCATTAACCTTTAGTCTTTCAGTGCTAATAAATATCGGTATGTTGGAACACGCCAATAAGATTTTATGCATATTTAATAAAGCTGCACAGTGCTACAAAATGACATGTGTGCTTGATTCATTGTGAAAATATTATGTCTGCGATTTTTTTCAGTAATATGAATATTGAAATACTTCAGAAAGGATATTTATTGAATTATTCAGTTTTAAAAAAGGCTTATATTAACTGTATTATATATTGAGAAACAAATAAATAATTAACTTTAATTGATGGTAACTCTAATAGGGGTAAGCCTTAGACCAAAATATCTGCAAAAAAAAAAAAAAACGCATTAAATAACATATCACATATATGAAAGAAAATGCTAATGATATCGTATAAAAAACGAAAAATTGCAATTATCGTGTAATACTTAAATTTTTATTGAAATTATGTGACATTTTCATTGATGTGTGCTTTCATGAAATGTGATGCAGTTAATTTTGGGGAAGAAAAGTTAATTATAATTTTTACCACTTTAAAATATGCATGAAGTTTTTCTCAATGAGCATTGTACGAATTTTCAATAAGGTGTCTCGTCTTTTTAAAATGAAATATGTTTAATATTTCTAAAACGAGTAGAAGAGGCATTCCTCAAAAATAATTCATTTTTCAAAACTTGAGATTAAAGTGTTGGTGCTTTAATAAATTTCCTCATAAAAGAGTTTGAGGTACACTACCACGCTATTGTGTTATATGTAAATACATGTACCTGAGAATGTAAAATCCTATATTTGATATCACTTGAAGTTGATACCATTGTTTTGGTAGTTATATTACACGTATTTACAGACAATTTGAAAACAGGTCAAAAATCACAAGATAACCATGATAATTATAAATATTTCTGTTATATTAAAAAGAAATACAATTTGAACTATTCGACAGCTAGTTCTAGAAAGAAAGTTTTGTTTCCTTTTTGCACAGAATAAGCTTTGGGGAGCGGGTCACATTGCTGCCCCTTACAATTTAAACTTCAAGTACCCCTTCAAATTTTTGCAGCGTTAGTTTTAGGTACACATAAATCTGTGTACCGCAATATTTAGGAAGACCTATCGAGCAGACCACTAATCTTAATTACTATGTTTAGAGGGATTATTCCTCGCGTAACAATGAGGCACGTGTCGAAAACACTACAGGTGGGAAAACATACCTGTTCAATATTACACAGGTAAAAAAATCCCTCGGGAATATTTCTCCACGACAATCGTTTTAAATCAAAAGAGAAACAAGGATTAAACGTTCGGTCTTACTGCAGATTTTCATTCTTGTCCTGTTTAAAAATCAATTGATGTTTTTTCAGGCAAGATGTTTTATATCATTTATTAAGAAAACAATGTTTTAGACATTACCTCTGTAGAAATTCTTAGCAAATAATTTCAAAACTGGGTAATGGTTCAAATATGCGAGCACAATCTGTGACTCATATTGTTCGTTTTAAACTATAAAGGTCTAATGAAACAGCAAATTCTAAATATCGACAGAATATACCCGTGTGGTTCAAATTGCCTTCCTTTCTCCCCATCTCAATAAGTATCTCCTTGCTTGCATCTACTTATTTGTTTGTTAATGATTAACTTAATATAAACATAAGCAACGAAAATACTCCTTAGTAATCATAAAAGGAGATAGAAAATGAAAGACTGAGTAGTAAACTTACTAAAAAAAAAAAGAAGATGCGCCTTTAGGATGATGCATGTCGCTTTTATACTTTTTTTTCCTGAAAAGCGTTAATGTCAAAATGATTTTACAATACTAGCTATCAAATAAAGGAAAGTATAATAAGCTGTTACAAATGAAAACATTGATTAAGCATTTTTTAGAATAATTGGTCCATTTGTAAAATATGTTTTCCAGCTTTTCGTAAAGATCGATATTATGTTACATTATCATATCATAATTGTGTTTTTGGTAACAATGTCACTACGTCCCCAACCCGGACTTGAAGTAACTCACGAAACCCAGTAAAGGTTTCCGTAATCTGTGTAAGGTCAAGAGACATGGGCTCTGATTACTATAGGTACCGGCTGTTGTTTTCTCACAAACTTAACGTTCACTAAGGGAAAGTCATCGATAGTACCTATACAAGCACACCTTATCTCAGTAAGAATAAAGTTTTCTTGATTTTGTGTACCTATAGTCCTCAGATTTCAAGGAGTAGATAGAATTCTTCTCATCTTGATGACCCTTGTATGAAAATATTCAAGTCATACTTTCAATTAAAACTTTTCTTTTCTCATCTATGTACGATAGGATGATAATCTTTTTTTAAAACGTGACAGATTGTACATGTTATTGTCTGTTGTCCTCTAAATGATTTCAAAATGAAAACATCTATTGTCACCGTAAAACGTATACGCATGTATTTATGAGATTTGTTTGTTAAAAGATTGCAGAAAAATTTATTTGTGAAAAGTACATCGTGCGTTTACCAATTGATTCTGAAGCTCATACGATAGACAAAGATGGTGCTCTATAGACAGTTCATAGAGACTCAAACCTCTGCAATTTTACCCGTCAGTCAGTGGAAGTCTCGTGGCTACAACTTTATGATTCCTTAAGCTCTTTCCTTCAGACGGAAGATGGGAGTCTGTGAGCAGAAACAAGCACCTGCAAGTTGTCTCGTTAGCTATTAAGGAATCTTTTCGTTGCCAAAATAACTCTGGGGAACAGTTATTTTATGAAATCGTCAGAAACCGTCAAAACCCGAACAACAAGTCATAAAAAATCTAGTCGTTATGAGTAATAACAACTTTAACTGGGACCAATCCTTTTGTTCTTTGTTCAGAGAAGCTTAGTGTACCATATGTGAATATTTATTATCAATTTTGCGTTGTAACATATATATGTCTTTTTTTTTATTACTTGTGGCATTTTTTGACAATGTCCTGCATAAACTTAGTCAAAGCCTTGGGTGCTTTCGAGCTTCTAGTACTAAAATAGTTGATACGAATGATATCGCTATACTTCGAAAAAACTTTGACTCACCTATTATTAAAAAAATCATAATAAGGTTATGCTAACAAAGTTCAAAAGAACATCTTAGTACGTATCATGAAAGTGAACGACTTTTATACCTACTTAATTTATGGACAATTTAGAATTTCAACATAAGCTTTTGATTTTAAGAATGATCATGAAATATTATGCTAGCTAGAAACAACCAAAAATAACATTGGACGAATTACAGTACAGAAGGGTAGATAATACATGTAAATAGGAGGTTGATACAAAATTACCACCTTGAAAAAAAACATACTGGAGTCATATTATTACTCCTATATGTATATGAAATACGGCATAGAAATAGTATAACTGTAACCAATCTTTGCTGCATACATGTATATTGCCATTAAGTGACAATATTCACGTAAGTTACTGCTTATAGGTAGTTTTCACATTACCAAACGAGCACTGGGTATAACGTATAGCCGTTAGGATTTTAAATCAATAGACTGCTTTCCCTTGTGGAGGTTCAATCAATTTACAGTCAGACCTGCATGTCCATGTCCACATCCTTGATTGACCGAGGCAAATAATGTTACAGTGCGTACATCAATTCAAATTTGAATAAATCTGGAATTCATCACGTTTGCCGTTGCTGCAAGCCCTCCCTTGGCATTAATGTCAGACCTCAAACGACAAATTTCCTTCCATTCCATACAACTTGATCAACTCTCAGTCGGATTTCTCATCCGACATCATAGCATCTGGGTTCATACGAGGTAAAATCATTCAGAGGAGTTTCTTTCTGGATACACATTGTACGTATCTGCATATGGCACAGTCTAAAAATGAAATGCAATGGATTCCTCCTCATACAATTTGCGTAGCATTTGAACGAATTTGAGGGTAAAAAAAGAACCCCGAACAACGAATTTAAGACATCTCTAAATTAAACTGCTTCTATAATTAATCAGACTTAATCAGGTTTGAATTGGAAATTGCACGCAAGTAGGAAAATCTCGCGAGACTTTCAATATTTTAAGCGGGACAGTGTTAATGTCCTCTGCACAATTAACAAGTGCAATGTTTCTATTACTAATTGAATTAAATCTAAGTTTCGTGTCAAAATCGTTGTTAACAAACTATGCTGATCCATAGTATTAGATACCTCTTCTGGCGTCACGCTATCAGCACGCTTTTCCTCCTTTTCAGTGGCAATATACGATTGTGTCACGAAGTCATAGCTAACTAATCTGAAAATCGCAAGAATGATGAGTCTCCAATGTTACAACAATGAGGTCTGGTACTATTTTATCGTGTCTACTCGAGGCATTAGGGAAATAAGTCTGTTTCAAGTGTTGGAATGTGTATATTTTTACAACAAATGTTTTCAGGAAAAATGGCATTGAGCATTAGCGTTGTGTAATCTTATAATGTATATACAATGTAAATGTATAGGAAATGGGAAAATTTCAAAAGCTTGTTTTTGTACAGAAAATATGAAGTTCTAGAAGCCCTCTCAACTAAATATAAAAATAAAGTTCGATACACTTAGATTTGCTTCTAGCTATACATTTGCCAGTGTTGCTTTTGCACAAATTATTCAGTACCCAAAGAGAGTCGTCCAGGTATACTTCTGGGCTTTGTCGCCGTGCCCCCCAAAAAATTCAACAATTTTAAATAAATTTGAAATAAACGATACGCCAAATAAGTATAATCCTAATCAATATATACCTCTGTTGAGATAGCAGGTACATGTACTTTTGGAACAATCCGCGTCGATCTTGTTAAAGAATGTGTGTAAACGTATAATTATACATGTACGTGTTGTTACCTGCATGTACATACTAGGATGGGATCACCATTAATAAACCCTGAACACAAACAACACATCATTACAAATCTAGAGAAATCAAATAATTCAAAGAAGTTTTGATTCATGTTTAACACTCAAGATTTGATATTTTAATAATTGTCTGCCATCTTTGATTACTCTGTGAACACTTTCTTGTGTGTCTTGTAGTTTTAACCTTAACCTTTTCCCGCTGTTATAATTAAGTATTGCTAGTCCACGTTCTCGAATTTATTCCCAGTGGATTCGAGAATAACGCTGAACATTGTTGCCTAAATTGATCATGAAAGGGGTTATAAATCAATATTCATTGAAAAATATGATTCGAAATGACAAACAAATACGTTGACACAATCCGTACAACTCGTATATGAAAAAAATATCTTGTTGCGTATCATGCAGAGACTTTTGAACAATTTGCACAATTTATAGGGTTTTGACAAGGGAAATATAAGAAATAAATATTAAATACACACTTACTGCAATGTAATAGAATCAAGTATATAGTTTAACAGAATAGTAAGTAAGCCGCAAGTATTTTCCGATTAGACATGTAAATGTATCTGGAAAATGTCGAATAAATATAATGATTGTGTACAGTCCCT